GAACAAAGCGGGTAAGTATTCATGTCCTCATGAAGCTTCACTCTCACGGAAGGAGGCAGACAACAAATAATAAATGCAAAGTGCAAATAAATTATATAGTATACTGAGGGCTCTAGGTGCTATGGAAACCATGAAAGAGCAGGGTAGGAAGGTCAGGAGTGTCAGGTGGCCAATTTAAATTAGGCTCATTGAGAAGGTGACACTTGAACAAAGACTTGAAGGAGAGGGGATAAGCCATGCAGATGTCTGGGATAAGAGCATATGAAGGAACATCCAGTGCAAAGACCCTGAGGTCAGAGTGGAAGTAGCAAATTCAAGAAGCAGCCAGGATGAGGCCAGTGGGGCAGGATGAGAGTGAGGGGTGACACAAGAGATGAGGTCACAAATGAAGCCTATCCACCATCAACCTGTTGGCCCTGAAAACAGCCACTCAGAGATCACACCGACTATCACAAAGCCTGAACCCGGAGGTTCTCGACCAGGAGTGTTTTTTTGGTTTTTGGTTCCCCCCTTCCTCAGGGGACATTTGGACAATGTCTGGAGACAGTTTCAGTTGTTACAACTGGGAGCAGGGGATTGCTAATTGGCATCTAATTATCCTGAAATGGTGCTAAACATCCTACAAAGCACAGAACTGCCTCCTACCACAGAGAATTATCCTGACCCAAGAGTCAATAGTGCCAAGGGTGAGAAACCCTAAATTTCTACATAAAATGGAGAAGTCAAAAAGGCAGTTGGATATACAAGTCTGGAGTTCAACAGAGAAGGCTGGGCAGGAGATATACATTCAGAAATCATAAACAAATAACTGGTGTTCAAAGCCTTGAGACTGAATCAGATCAGCGGGGAGTGAGTGTAGATAGGGAAGACGTGTTGTGTGCCTGGCGTTCCAACAGGAAGAGGGCAGGGAAGAGAGGCTGAACCGGCCAAAAGGCTGAGAAGAGGAAAACAAGAATGAGGATTGAGGAGGAGGTGTCAGGGGTTTGGAAAGAGGGGAGATGTGAGAGAAAGCTACCCAGGAGAATGGGAGAGTAAACAGACTAGGGAAGTCCATTCTGGGCCCACAGGAGGTGAAGAATTTAAAATGAGACTAGTCATTTAGCTACACAGATGCAGGTTCAAAGTTCGAAGAGAGATGTGACCAGGGTTGTGGCTTTGCCAAACAAGTAAGATGAGCCATCAGGGGTCAGGGAATTGAGGGCATGTGCAGGGAGTAACTCTAATGATTAACTTAAGCTTTGAAAGGAAGGAAAGCACTGAAAGTTGATAGGCAATGAAAGGTGGTAGTATAAGCAGATAGGGTAGAGAGTCCCCAGAGAAGGAGAACGAGGCATGGCTTTCCTGACATAAGAGAAGCCATTTTTGGCCTAAGCCATTCTGTGATCTAAGCCTGGCCTCGATAATTAATGATCTTAAGGGAAGTGAGGAAATGAAGGAACAAAGGAAAAGCAGTCAAGGAACAATAGGTCAGCAATAAAACAGAGTCCCAGTTCCTCCTCAAGGGACATACGTAACAATTGGATACAGGCTTTGAGTTCTGCAGGAACTAAGGCCTCCACCCAGGTGGAGGATAGAAGGATGAGGCTGACCCTCCTGACTTCAATCAACTAAAGCTTGGACTCTGTCGACCATTGCCCTGATCCTACGCTGAATTCTCCTCTGCTCAAGCCCCCTCATGAATATGCATGTACCTTTAGCTTTAGACTTCCCCAATTTTGCCGTTGGGGAGACACTGCTTTGGGACAGATACCTGTTTTCTCCTAACTCGCTGCAAGTAATAAATCCTTCCTCCTCCCTCTCTTTGGCTTAGTTGTATCTTTTGGTTCGACACCCACCAAGGAGGCAAACTCATTTTTCGGGCAACAGTGAGATCAATGGATTGTAGACTGGGTGGGAACAGAAAAGTTGTTGAGGTTGGGATACTAGAGTGGGTAAGGCAGAAGATCAGGGGAGAGTGAACAGAGTGGGATGCATGCAACTGAAATTAAGGAGGGTAGAAATGATTGGTGTTGAAAAAAATTTAAGGAGTGAGGGCTGAAGTGCAGTGAACTCTCAAGAAACTGAGAAGCCAGATTGCTGGAAAATCATCGTCTACGCGTGTACTGAAATTATGACAGGAGTAAGTGGAAAACAGTGACAGGGTGCAAAGGGAGCTAAAATCATCCAGAAATAAGGTGGAGTAACACAGGGGTTACTGGGATGACTGCAACACTGGGAAAAAGCAGGTCATAAAATTATATAATGGAGAGAAAAGTCCCACTTCTGTACACATATTCTAAAATAAAAATATTATTTCTCTAATAAGAAAAAAATGACTGTAAAAGTTGTAGGTCTACATCAAATACTCTTTGGAAAGAGCCAGATATAGATGAGTATACACACATACATATTCAAATGTGAATATAAATATATCTATGCACATATGATTCTTTGATATAGATTCTCCTCTTGAGTTACATGCTTCAGAATAAAGGTGTTAAAAATAGTAAAAACTTTCTTACAAATGAAGAACAGCACTAACAAGGTATAATGTGAATAGTCTATTAAAAATTATGACTCTTGAGAACACTGTTCTATCTTAATAAATAACAATAATGTATACTGTATCTACCTCGAATTCCAATTATTATTTTACTGAGTTCTGCTATTAAAAAAACAGAATTATGGGGGGGCTTCCCTGGTGGTGCAGTGGTTGAGAATCTGCCTGCTAATGCAGGGGACACGGGTTCGAGCCCTGGTCTGGGAGGATCCCACATGCCGCAGAGCAACTAGGCCCGTGAGCCGCAACTACTGATGCCTGTGCGTCTGGAGCCTGTGCTCCGCAACGAGAGGCCGCGATAGTGAGAGGCCCGCGCAACGTGACGAAGAGTGGCCCCCACTTGCCACAACTAGAGAAAGCCCTCGCACAGAAACGAAGACCCAGCACAGCCAAAATAAATTAAAAAATAATAATAATTTTTAAAGAAACAGAATTATGAATTTTTTTTCTCCTCCTTCACTTCATACACTTTAATGCAAGCAGGATCATATGCCTAGATGCAAAAGATAGAACTATAAAGCTTCTAGAAGCAAGCATAGGAGAATATGTGTACAGCCTTAGAGTAGGCAGGGATTTCTTTCATATTTTTAATTAATTTTTATTGGAGTATAGTTGCTTTACCAGAATTATGAATTTTATTGGTCACTAAACAGGGTTACATCTGAATAGCTCTCCTCTCGTGAATATATTATTATATGACTTTGAAACAGAAAATTAGGAAAACATTTAATTCTTCCAGTTTCTGGAGCTCAAGCCTTTGTGGGAGGCAGGGAGAGAGAGGAGAAAGAAAGGAAAGAAACAGGAAAAGTATGTTTTCAGAAGGTTTTTATCCATCCCTCTGGGTAAGCCACACTCTTTTGGTCTTTTAAAGCTTTAAATTTTGCCTAATACCAACCATCTATGTTTTCTCCTTTCAGCAGTGGGCCTGGGCCTACCCTTAGAAACCTCTAAAAGCCAGAAGAGAGGAAGCAGAAGAGAAGTAAATGGCGAGGGAGGCTAAGAAGAATGATTTTGTACTGGAGGTGGCCAGAACAATTTCACACGTTGCCTGGTTACCTGATACCAAGTCATAAAAGTCTAATTTAGTGTTTGTATTCAGCCACTGAACCTAACGGGGTAAGATTTATCCCGTGAACGTTTATCATCCTGTCCTGTTTCAAAGCTATAATTTGCAAAGCTGCAGGAAGCGTTCACGGTTGGATACAACACATGCTCATCCTGCTGCAGATCCCTTGTCCACTCTACTAACACACCCCTTCCATTTAATTCAACCTCCTGTGGCAATGCATCTTCTCAGGTTATCACCATATTATTCTGATAAGGTGGTGAAGAATGATACTATTATTAGCTCCTTTATAAATGGGAGATATTAAGGCCCAAAGTCCCAAATACCAAAGCCCAAGTCCCAACTCTGGCCCTTGGGCAGGCCCCAGACAGTGCTCTGCCCCTCCCGTGAAACGCCTCCCTTGGGTTCCACCCCCTGAAACCCTGCCCCTCATTCAAGGCCAGAGGCGCAAGGTAGACTGGAAAAGCACCAAACTGGGGCTCAGAAGCCCTCCGTTAAAAGTACTGCCTCCCCTCTTTATTAGCTATGTGCCTCAGAACCAGTTACTTCATCTCTATTCACCTCAGTTTTCTCATCTGCAAAATGGGGATTAACATCCGTTTTGCCTATCTCAGAATGCCTGTGACAAACTACTAGAATATATGTGGAAGCTCACAGCAAACCATTAAGAGCCACACAAATGTCATATGCTATCCAAGGTCCAGCTTGAGTCCTACTCAATCCAGGGAGCCTTCCAGACTTTCAATCCCACCCCCTGGCATTTCCTCTTACACTACTTATCTCAGTACTTGATCTATGGGCTCTTGTGTTGTTATTTAAATATTTCCAAGTCAGGAACATCTTCCCTCAGAAGAGTCTAGCCCAGAGCTATAAGCAAGCAGTTCTTTGTATTCTCAATGTGATGCATGAACTGGCGGAGCTGAGAGTACACCCTGACCCTCCTGGTACCAGGGTGCTCATTTCTACAAGAAATTCTTGCAAAAGCTTCCCTATGGTGGATAGTTATACTCACGCTCTAATAAGAGGACTACTGACTGAAAGGCAAAGTTTTCTCTTTAAAAGAAGAGGGCACAACATATCAATGCTTGAAGAGACCAGAAGCATGGGCCCATCACAGATAAGACCCCAAGTCAGGGGAATCCTGCCAACAGTTCCCAGCGAGGGAAAAAAAATTTCCCCATGCACTCACTTTAGGTTGAGGAGGTCTCACAGAGATACACCTTGCTGGATATATTTGCAAATGAGAAAGCCCTTTGTTTGATTTCTGGATGAAATAAGGCATTCTACAGGTTTTCAGTTTCTCCTGGGGAAGATACACTCTAAGTATAGAGAATATTTTCCTCAGGGCCTCTTGGTAGCTTTCCCATACAAAGCCAGCTGCTAGAAGTGCTTTACCTGATCTCTGTAAACCAGGGTGCTGGGGTGTGACCGTGGTTTGTCTTTAAACGAGTAGGTGGCCACTTGCTTCTTTAACAAGTCCAAGAAGTCAGGAGGCATGTACTGGGGAAGGTCATTTAGTACCAGATCGTTTCTTTGCAGAAGAGGTGGTTTTTTCCTTCCTTCATTTTTAAAACTGTATGTTGCTATCACTGGATTTAATAGAGATTCTTCAATAAAAGTTTTCAAGTGGTAAGTGCCAGGATTAGGAGTGCTCTGTGGAGAATTGACATCATTTTTTAAAGTCAGTGTGTAAAATGGTTAACATCTCTTAAAGCATCATTCTTGCAAAGGTCACTCCTAAGTAGCATTTCTCTTTGGTTTACAGTTTAATAAGATTCTATCAAATAGAGTAAACACTCCCGCCAGAACAATATTTCAAGACAATCACAATGATTTCCTTTCTGAGACAATTGCTAAATTATAGCAAATGGGTTACGGCCATAGTTGAAGTTTTAACTTCTTAAAAAGTAGCTTCAGAGATACTTAAACTTGAGATTCAATTTGACTGTAAATGTCAGGCCTCTCATGAGACCCCTCAGGATAAGCTTCGTGACTAAACAGAAGTTATCCTACTTCTGCTTAGTAGGTACCACGTGTTTCTTTCTAGCCCTCAAGTGGGAAGCTAAAGGATAATAACACGAGACTGAGGATGAATTGGCAGAACACATGGCCTAATTAGTCCCATAAGAGGTTTGGTACTTTCAAATCACAACCACAGTATGGCTGAATGGCCAGACCTGACAGTTTAGTTGCTGCTGCTTTTGTGGCCATCTTCCCACTGAGCACTCAGCTCAGTTCTACCATTAAAATTAGTTCAATTCCAAGGAGGCTTTGGCTCCTGAGGCCCCTCTGTTATAGAAAGGTGTGAACAGAAAATATTTCTGCCATATAGAAACAATGTATCTTGAGAGGCAGATCTTCCAGTCATCTTTCTTTTGATCATGTTAACAAAAGTTATCATAGACTCTTACTTCTTATCTAAGTAAGATAACAACCAAAATCAAACACATTTCCAGAATGCATGCTTTTTCTTCCTTGTGTAATCTCACCAAGGTCATAAACTAGGTTGACTTTATCAAGATATCCTGTAAAACACCTGGATTCCTAGAGTTGTTTTACTTCCAAGCTTTTACTGCATTCAAAATTTAAAGTTAGTTTCTCAGTCATATGCTGATACTAAAATTATAAATATGAAATAAGGCCCACATAGATTTTTTTTAAGGCCCATGTAGATTTGAACCATTGTTTTCTTAAAATTAAGTATTAGTGACTTAATCAGGTTAGACTGATTATAATACTAATAAGAATGAGAATACTTTGAATAGGAAAGGATGAAAATATACATACTGTTAATGCTATTCTCCACCATCCTTCTCTTTCAAAAGATGACTTCTGGCTTGGTTTCTATTAATAAACATAAAATGTGCTTATTCATTTTAGAAGTGATCCCTGGAAGTTAAATATCACTTATAAAACATGTACTTGAAGAAATGGATACCAGTACCAAACTGGTCAGCCTGAATTAAAATAAAAGCTACATAATGATAAATTTTGCCTGTAATATTTCCTTAAATTACTATTTTATGATCTTAAGTGCTTTTTAAACATCTAAATCCCCTTTGGGTAAATTAGAGTAACAAACATCCCCATCTCACAGAGATGTCCTGAGAATAATTAGAGGTGACAAAATTTGGTGCTCTTAGGAAGAAAAGAGTTGTATAAACCCAAAATTGTGTTAGTATAATTGTTATTAAGATTTATGGCTCAGGAAGCTCAAGGTAAAAATGTAGTCATCAAATTAATGGGATATTGGGATACAAATTCCTGGCGATATGGCAAATGTTGAACACTGCCATTTCCTGGATTTACATATGCTATGACTTGGGCTTGAACTCCAGCTCGGCTACTGGCTAGGAGCACTAGGCAAGTTAACCCTCACGAACCTCAGCTTCCTCTTAGGAATACAAAAAAAGGCACCAGTCCTGGCATGAAAACAAGGCATTGTAAAACCTGTACCCACATCCAGGGCTCAGTAAGTGGCAGCTTTTATTTTTAACATCTCATCTGTCAAGTTAAGAAGCAGATTATTTTGATATTCTTCAGTTTCCAAGGATGCTCTTGTCTTCCATAGTTAAGTACTTTACACCCACTTATTATCCCATATTTGTTTCAGCTTCACTGTCAACAGAACACGGTTGTTTAGTTTTTTCCTTTTGTGCTATTTCCAGTAGGTAAAATCATTAAAATATTGAGTTCTACTTTCATTTAGAATACTTTTGTTATTACTATAAAATATAGGTTTATCTCAAGCAAGAAGGCATTAAAAATAATAATCTAATCAGTCAACGGATATAATTAATTATTCCTGTCTAGCAACTTATATCCACTTACAAGTACCCTTGGGCTTTAGTTTTACTATGAAATATAGGCATTTCTCTTAAAAAGCATTGTTTCATACGCACTGCTAAGTCTGAATTTCTTCCTATACATTCCCTTTATTAGATTTATGCTGAATCTTCTCTGTTGCACATATATAGTCACAGAAATCAAACTTTTTCAGGCAGGCCGAGACAGCTCTCCACCTCTACCTAGGACCAAGGAAATGAGGTGGGAAGAAGGGAGAAGTAAACATGATACATCTAAAGGAAGGTAACTGGCAGCTGCTGTTTTGTTTTGCCCAAGACAGGTGATTTCAACTTCACCTATCTCCCACTTCCAATTCACTTCAGGGGTGAATCACTTTACACAAGACGGGCTCGACATCCCTTGCCCAAATTTATTTAAAAACTTAAACAAAGATACTTTCAAATATTTTATAAATACTAAAGTAGGAAGCAGGGCAAAAACGTGTCCAATAGACTAAGGAAGGACAAACGCATTCTCTCGGCAGACAGAGGGGAAAATGAAAGAAATCTAATTACCCTATTAAAACAGTTGTCCAGTGCAATTAGCAGTAGGTAAGAGGGGGGAAAAACAACACAGAAAACAAAGGGCGAATGTGAAGGATAAGGGAGAGCGAGGGAAGAGGAGAGCAAACAAAGCGGCACTCAAATACCGATCGGGAAGAAAGGACTGCAGGCGCCGACGTGAAGGTAGGGAGAAGCGGAGGGGCGCCTGAGCCCGGGATTAGAGAGAGGTGGGACTTGGGGCGGAACTCGGCGAAGGGAACGTTGCTGTGGAGGTGGGAGGGCAAGGAAGTAAGGCGGTACCGAGGCCGCCCCGCCTCGCTTCTTCCCTTACTGCGGCAGAGGCGATGGCCATGATTGGCTGGTCCATTGCTGCCGCCTCGCTCCCTAGGCCGAGGCTGGCGTCCGGTTGCCAGGAGGCGCCTCAGTCCGCCGTTCCTGAACGAGCGCAGGGCACCCGCCAGGTTCTTCTCCGGATGTGGGGGAAGGGAGGCGGGCACACGCTTGGAGGGCCCGCAGCAAGCCTCACGCAGAGGGAATAATAGGTCGAGACCGTCAGGCACATGCGTGGTAAGGAAACCTAAAGAGCGCGGGAGTCGCCAGAGAGCCCTCGGCAAGTGTCTGCACCAAGGGAGGCCTGCAAAGGCTAAAGCGCCCCAGGATCTCCATCAGCCCTTTCCCAAATCAATCACCTCATGCTTGATACGCATACTTAGATTTAAGGCAAAAATCAACCTCAGCACCCACTTTATTTTTTTGAATTTTATTTTTTTATACAGAAGGTTATTACTTATTTTATACATATTAGTGTATACATGTCAATCCCAATCTCCCAATTCATCCCACCACCACCTCCACCCCTACGCCACTTTCCCCCCTTGGATAGCACCCACTTCCTAGGATTGTTTCTAAACTCCTCCAGATGGAATTTCTGGGGGTGTCACTTTTGAGAAGTGGAGTGAGTACTAGACACAACAGGCTGTAAAACCACGAATTACCCTTTACCATCCGTATAGACCCTCTTCATTTTCAAACTCTCTTGGCTGTAGCTTCTCAACCTATAAACATTACCATCTTTAAAAACAAACGTCCCCTTAAGCTTAACAGTTCCATTTTATGGAGCATCTGCTGTGTTCCAGATATTTCAAACATATTTAATCCTCAGAACGACCCTGTGAAGTAGGTATTAATCCCATTTATGAACAAGGAAACAAGCTTCCTTGGACAGTTTAGCACAGCTTACTCTGCATCACACAGAAGTGACAGAGCCAGAGTTCAAATCCAGGTCTGACTCCAGTGCCCCACTGTCCACTACACCACGAAGCTTCTGCTTCCGTTCACAAACTTTCAAGAGTAATGTGGACTCAATTCTTTCCTCACCTCCACCCCCATACTTTCCTAAAACCATCTTAATCTGACATGTGCAGGGCACCTTTCAGTTAAAAATTGCATTTAGTAACTAAGCTAGCCAGTTATCTAGTTGCCAAATCCAATGGGGATTTTTCAGGCTCTTAGATGACCTCTATTTGTCATCATTGCATTGATTATTCCTCTCCCTGGCTCCATTTGATTTATTGTGATTCTCTGTCTATAAGGAGGTGATAATATATTGGTACCTACATAGGGTGATTACCTTGAGTGAAATGTCTGGAACCACATCTGGCGCAATGCATTCAAAACATATAATCACTGCCTTTAGGACAAAAGCAAAATTTACAATTTTACAATCCAGTCTCACCTCATTAAAACCTCACGATCTGATGTATACTTGCAAATCCCAAACAGGCCATCTTCTCACTTCTATTGTCTCCCCATATGCTAGCCCTTCTGCTTGAAATGCTATTCTCTTCTTCGATGGCCTGGCAAACCTCAAGGGTCAGCTCCTCTGAGAAGTCCTCCTAGGCCTAATCCCTCGTACCCCAAAGGACCCTGTTCCTCTCTTTATTGCAGGACTCATTGTGACAAATCATGTCTCCCCTAACTTTAAACATATCCAGAACACAGGTTTTTGTCTTCTCAGCCCTTTGAACACAGGAAGAATTGAATATTTGTTAAGTTTTCCTTTTATAAATAAAACCAGAAGGACTACAGTAGTAGTTTTCAAAAACTAATGTGCATACAGATACCAGGAAATAATGTTAAAATAAAGATTCTGATTGAGATTCTAGGGCAGGGCCTAACCCCCCCACCCCCGCATCTCTAACAAGCTCTCACAGGTGATTCTGCGGGTGACTTTTTGCGTAGCGAGAGACAGGAGGACACCATTAAATTTCTCTTGAAATACTGGGATTCTGAATTCATTTAACACAGCCTTAAAAATAGCAGGAAAAACGGGGAGGGGAGGAGCCAGGCACCAGGTTTGAAATAAAAAACTGAAACAGTAAGACCAAGAGACAAGTAAAAAACAGAACTTTCACAAAACTGATTAAGCCAAGTCCGTCACTGTGCCTCATTTCATTTTCTTATTTTGGCTCAGCCTGTAAAACTGGCTCAGCAGACTAGGGACTGGTACCCTAGAGACTGAATATGATGAAAGGTACAGAGAAGTCCAGAAACCCATGCATGGTGTGAAATATAAGGAAACACCTAGATGAGAAAATAGATTTGGGTATCGCAAAAATAGAAACAGCATGGGTAAATGATTTCAAGGACTTTACCAACAAAGCAGACTAAGTATGTAGAATAAACAAAATGTCCCCTTAAGAAAACACTGTCCTGCATAATATCACTGAGAAAAGTTTAAGATTTATTTTCAGGTTATCATTACAGCAGTTTTAAAGGGAGGAACCATTTCTCTTTGCAAATACGAGACTACACTTCGTAGAGATCAACAGTGCCTCTGCTACGCATCAGATTTTTAATAGAAATTCTAGGTAAAATACTTCATATTCTACATATTCCAGGATCACTTTTAACTGCAACAGTGATAGTTTAGGTTAGAATCATCTGAAAGCAAACATGCTACAGACAGTATTTGGAAAAAGAATCATCAATTACCATGATACTGCTAATATAAAACAGCTAATACAGGTAAGATTTGAAGATAAGGTTTTAAAATTATAGTTCTGATTTGAGTAAGATTATGTAATGCTTACTGTGTGATTTTCATGAAGATTACAAGAATATAAAATCAGTAACATGACAAAGTACCCCAAAGACGTGTTTTCCCCTTCCACCTTGTTATCAACAACTTTACTTCAAACAATTGGAACTGGAAAAGCACCAATATTAACTTTGCCCAATTCCCTCATTTTACAAGGATCATAACTGATTTAACAGCATAGATTGAACACTTAATGCAAATACCAGGAACTATGCTAAGTGCTTTACCTAGCATTATTATAAAAACAAAGTTAGAAACCAGCTGGGTAAATCACACCCATTTTACAGGTAAGATAACCGAGGCTCAGGTAATACTGACCTCTTCAAAGTTATACCGAGCAATGATCTGAATACTGTTGCAATAAAACTCCAAAGCCCATGTTTAATATTCTGGAGATTATTGTGCCTCAACAGCTAGACACATGAATCTTCTCCCACCTTTGACTAAACTCTTACATCTAATGAAGCTCTTCCTAATTAGTACTGCCTGCCTAACATGTAATAATACCCTCTTAGGATGATCAATTCCTGTTAACTTCCCTCATCCTACCTAAAACATACTTGACTCTTTTCCTTCACTGACCATCCAGTTTTCCATTTTCCTGTAGAACTAATAACAGTGATATTAAAATAGTCAAAGATGCACAGTAAACAAATTGTGCCTCTGGGAAATTAAAAACCTTGTAGCTGTAATAATCAAGTAACAATTATACTTAAATGTTTTCATCTTGGCTCTGCTTTGCTATGCAATCTTTCCTTAAGTATTTAAAAGGTAGTTAGAAAAACAGGAACCCTGATAACCACCTTTTGAGTAGTTTATACAGAAAGCAATAGTTTAGAAGCAAGCAAATACTAAAACAAGGTTTAGTTACTGTCAATCCACTACTAAAGATACCTTATTTGTAAAGTATGTTGCAGATAGGCAGGCACAACGGAAAATTCTCCTTTGTTTTCTGGTAGTAGAATTAAAAAGCATTGAGTAAAACATTAAAAAATAGAGGCAAAACATAATGACCCACCCCCCATTTGGATTTTTTGTTTTTAAACACAAACATTTAAAAAAAATCACAGCATGGCTGAAGTCTATATGGATAAACAAATGCCAAACTTGAAAAATACATTAAAAAGGTAGGCAGCAACACTGAACACCTACCTTATGCCAGTCCCCATGCTAGGTACACTTACAAAAGGTTTCTTAATCTTTCACTTAAACCTTTTGAAGGAAGTATCATAATTTAAAAACCAAACAGTCTTGAGTAGTCAAAAAAATTACTTATCTAAACTTAAATTATACCACCTCCCCACTTGATTCTCAAAATTATTTAACGTCAAGTTTATTAAATGACTCAGATTCAGAGCAACAGTTGGGTAAATTGTAATTTTTTTATTGGAAAACAAATATACAACTTGGAATGGATTTGAGGCAAATTGTGCCATAAGCAGATTTTCTTTAAGTGGCTAAAACAAAGTTTAAAAAGCAAGTAACAATAAAAGAAAATGTTTCTGGTACAGGACCAGCAGTACAAAAAAATAGTGTACGAGTACCTGGATAAAACACCCGTTTTGCAATAGTGCAACTTTTAAGTACATATTGTTGACTGTCCATAGTCCACGCAGAGTTACAACTCCACACTTCAACAACAACATGCTGACAGTTCCTAAAGAAAACTACTTAAAAAAAAAAAGGCATAACCCAGATGTTCCCTCATTTGACCAACTCCATCTAAGTTTAGATGTGCAGAAGGGCTTATTAGATATATCCAGAGTAAGCCACATGCAACATGTTACTTGATCAATTTTTCTAAAATAAGGTTTCAGGACAATGACAGTAAGATAAGGGAAGAAAACATGGAGGAATGAAGTCCTAATTACTATACATGCATATTTTTTTTGACAATAGGGGGAAACCTTTTACAGATAAGTTACAAACAAAGAAAAGGCAAATAAACAATTTTGTACAAGAAATTTAACACATTCTGTACAATGTCTTCACTTTGCTGTCATCATTTGTACAAACTCTGAAAAAGAAGTACACAAAAATGTTGAGTCAATGGCAAAAGTCTGACAAAACCAATCACATTTACTCAGTCACTGAGCAGTCTCCATTCCCCTTTCTTTCCTCAAAATTATCATAAAGTACAGAAGAAAGCTAGTTTACTGCCAAGGCTGGACCTTCATAAACCAAAATTATTTATGATTATTAATGAATAAACCAAATTAATGCTTTAGATAAACTATTACAAATAAAAAGCATTCTTGCTCTTAGTTCAATATCACATATGATACTTCTGAACTGAAGCATGTATAATTTTAGACTTAAAGCTAATTAGAGAGAAGGAAAATCCAATGAAAGAAAGTCACCTTAACTTTGAGGATCTTGAAATAAGTTTGAAGAAGCTTTTCACACTGTTCCACAATTGTTAACAAAAATTGTATTATCATAGTTTGGAGTGTAGTGCTTCTCAAACTTTAATGTGCATTATGAAATCACCCAGGAATCTTACTAAATGTAGATTCTAAGTAAAGGGATAGGATCTGATATAGTTCTAAAAAGTTCTCAGGTGACAATGATGTTGCCTAATCTGTGCACAACACTCTGAATAGCAAAAGGTTGGTAAATATCAGTAACTGTTTTAGCATCTCCATTTCTGGGGGGGGGGGGGAATGTCACTAATTCTGACCTATCAGATACCTAACAAGAACCTCTACCTTAAAGTCAAAGCACAGAATACGGCAGTGACAGTGAAAGAATTACCTTCATAGTTTACTTGACCATCACCATCAATATCTGCTTCCCTGATCATTTCATCAACCTCTTCATCTGTTAACTTCTCTCCAAGGTTTGTCATCACATGGCGGAGCTCTGCTGCACTAATATAGCCATTACCATCCTACAAAAAAATGTAGTAAAATGTCTAAGCAAAATTATAGACCTAACGAGTTGAAACAGAAGTTTATTAAACTTCACATTAGGGAGCAAAATATACTTTAGTAATCTATACAAACTAAAGAGAGTTTACAAATAGCTGACCTATATATTAAATGTCACTGGGAGTCAAGCAGGATATTCTATATTGAAATCACAATTTCTTGGTTCCAAAGTCAAGTGATGCCTCTTTCGCCACAAAACTAATGCTATATATATATATATATATATATATATATATGTTATTAGGAAACCTCCATCTACACTGAATTCTTAAAAAGCTTCTGCTTGATATTAAAGTATTTTGGTAAATCATCAGAAAAACAAGTCTTCACAGATTAAGAGGTCCTGATATCTTTTTATCCTCAAATTAAAATTGAACAAATCCAGTCTTTGGATACTTACCTTATCAAACACACGGAATGCTTCTCTAATTTCTTCTTCACTGTCTGTGTCTTTCATTTTTCTTGCCATCATTGTCAGAAATTCCGGGAAGTCAATTGTGCCGTTACCTGAAATGGTTTGTTTAGTTGAAACATTACAACAGAACTTAAATGCCACTTCTTCAACTCCCCCTTCCCAAACCCTGAAACTAAAGACTTACCATCAGCATCCACCTCATTAATCATGTCCTGTAACTCTGCTTCTGTGGGATTCTGCCCAAGAGACCTCATTACAGTTCCCAACTCCTTTGTTGTTATAGTTCCGTCACCATCCTTGTCAAATAGTGAAAAAGCTTCTTTGAATTCTGTTTGAAAGGGAGACCACAATCCAAATGTACAGGTTAACAATAAAAAAGTAACCTCCTAAATGAAATGTATTAATCAACCATCAAAGCAAACATATATATAGAGATAGGACCTGAAATGGGATTTTGATTCCTGAAGGATTAGGTGGGGAAACCTTGTGGTATTTCAAACATTTTTAGTTAATCATATGCTCATGTATTGATCTGAGTTTTTTTTCATCTGAAATCTTACAGGGAACTCCAAAATCTAGTCCAGATAAGAGTCAAATTATTGTTGAGAGAGGAAAACAATCAAAGCCCCCAATGACTGGCTTCTCTATTTTCTGCTGAAGCTGCTCTGTGGAACACAATTCCAAATTACAGATCTAACCTACACTCAGAATAGAAAAGGAAAACTACTGTTACCAAATACATACTTCTAAATAGCAACTGTACTACTTACAGTAATCCCCGAAGTTAAAATTAAATCTATTTAATCACCTACTAAATTAAAAAGAAAAAAATTTAAATTTCAGAACAACCTGCAATAGGCTAGCTTCCTTTTCTGGAAGATAGAAGGGACTATCACTAATGCCAAATCATCAATAATGATGTTAACAGTGGGATGATCAAGATATGAATGGCCAGTTTTAACTAAGTGCTGTATCACTGAAAACAAAATTTAGACCTTTCTTCAGAATATAAAATCCCAAGCTTATAATAGAGTGAGATATATTATTGCCTAAAATCTTTTAAATCTTCTTGTGAAATTATGTTGCTTTCAATTCACCACTAGATTACATGGAAAGCTACTGGATCAACAGTCCAGAATACCTGAATACAGAGAAACCAAGCAGAGATTTAACTTGGTAGTGGCAAGGGCATATAAATGAGCTAGTTAACAAAGCCAGCAAAGATATCAGGCCCAGTCAGCAAGCAAACACAAAGGCATACAGCACAGAAACTAAAAGCGGACTTTGGAACTCAACTGCCTGGGCTAAAAAATTCCAGCTCTGCTACTTACTAGTAATATAAATAACCTTGGGCAAATTTTCTGCCTCAGCTTTCTCATGTGTGTTAAGTGGGAATAATTGTACCTACTTCCTAAATTTAAGAATTAGGATAGGTAAAGCACTTAGAACTATGCCTGGCAAATAAGTACTTAATAAATGTCAAGAAAAGATGTTCTCATTTTCCTGCAGCATCCACAGCTACACTGGAAAACTCTCAAACTTCTCTTGGCTTTCACAACAGTAATTTACCTCCTACCTCCTACTGCCGAAGGGTCTTGCTCCTATTTGTCTCTTACATATAGATGTGACCAATTTTCTTATCCTTTTTTCTCTCCTTGGCCATTTCATCTATGCCCACTAATAATGAAGACTTCACATCTTTAGTCCACTCATCACTCTCAACATAATATTTTTGCTTCTCACTCCTACAGGACATCTTCCCTGGCTGACCTCAAGGAAGACTTAATGAAAATCAATTCTATACTCCTCAGCAACCCTAGGAATGCAAACAAAAGCCACCTTAATTCTTTTTCCCTGAAACCTGTCAAGGCCTGCAGAATTCTGCTATTTAAATACTGCCTGATTCTTTGCTCATCTCCACATCCAACATTTTGGCTAATGACCCTATCATCTTTTATCTGGACTATCACAATAGCCTCCAAATGGATTCTTTATTTAAAATTACCCACACAACTACCTGAGTCCTATTACCTTTTTGGATTATCACATTATTTTCTTCTGCTTTGATTCTTTTAATTGCTTAGCTTTAGACCAGGTATCACTGACTAGTTATAGTTTGCTACACTCAGTAAGTAGTAAGTGCCACTTACTACTACTGAGTGCTAAACATTCCACTCCATTTAAATATTACTTGTCTTCAGAGGAACTCACCTGATATCAGAAGCTTAGTACCAAACTACTGACTGATCTTATGAAAATATGCAGTACTAACCTAGACCAACCCAATGACAAAAATAAATCAGAGTCCTACAAATAGCAGAATTTATGAAAACATTTCCATTTTACACTCAGCTTTTTTTAAAACACAGGATGTTTTACAAGTACTGTCTAGAAATATATTAAACTATTAAGTTCGGAACACAGTAGCATCTATCACCTAATAAGTAACTTAGGCTCCAAGAAAATTAAAGTACTTAGAGCTTTGTATTTATTTACATTACATTCTCTGCTATAATACAGTTATCGTGTAACACCACCATTATGTACAAAAACTCGCAGTATAACTAGCCATAATCATTTTACTAAATGATTTAACTTAAAGGACAAATTTTGAAAGATGCATGCTATAAGTTTATGTATGTGTGTTCTAAATTTCAACATCTAATAACTCTTAAAATATTTGCTGGAATAAGTGAAAAGCAGAAAATAAAACCATTTCTAATGCTGTAACTAGTGTTTACTTCATGCATACAAAAAGGAACGAATAAAAATACTTTGAAGGTCAAGGTTTATTCCAAATCTTTATTTGTATTTTTACACTAAAGAGGCAGAAACACCTGCAAAAACTTAAAATAAGAATAAACTGAAAAGTACAATTTTATTTCACCTGCTTTTATAGCTCTCCACCTGTGCTTCCGAACAGTTTAATCTTAATGTATAGAAGCATATCATTCTAAACAGTTATTTCCCAGGAATGAGTTGAATATAAACCTAGGAGTCAAAACCTCAATTGAGGATAAGAAAACAACAGGTCCTGAATGTCACAGAACAGCTATCTTCAACATAATTGATGGAACCTCCCAAAATCCATTCTAGTTATGCCCAAGTTGAAACTTTCAGAAATCATACTATTACTTGTTTTATTTGTTCATTAGCAACCCCAGGATATCTTTCTAAATATTTTTTACATAAACTTATAATTCTATTAAAACAGGTCATCATGAAACAATCACAAGAAAAATCAAATGCCTGTTTATCAATTTCTATTTATTTATAAAAATTCCAAACTTATTAATCCTTTAAAGGCCATGTACCAAACCTTTATTGTTGAGTAAGATTAGTACTTTTTTATTAAATAAGTTTTATCCCTACACTGAACTTTAAAAGTTTAATGGTTTAGGCATAAATTTCTTTAAAGAAAAAAAATTATTTTACATTTTTCCTTTAAATATTAAATACCAACAACTTATGACATCATGGCAGAGTCATCAACAAAACTAACTTGTTAGTGATGTCACACTAGACTGTTCTGGATTGCTCTTTAAGACCAGGGTAACGTAAACAACTCTAGAAACTTCACCTAAACAATAAGCATACTTTTTTCTAGACTAAGTTATTTGTTAGAGGAATTTCCAATCTGAAGTAGTAATGATTATCAGATGAAGATAAAGCCAACTGAAAAAGTACCTTAGTATATTCAACCTTGCATTATATGTATGAAGCTTGTTAGCACAAGTAGAGCTAAGACTCTAAGATATTAACTGGTTACCAGCAATTACAATTTACCAGATTAAAAAAATTTTTTGCCTTCACCTCAAAGGTAGACATTGAGAGGGGACTTTGGGAGGAGGCAGAATAATTCTTAGGAATAGGGTAGGTACTGTTTTAGAACATGTATGTGTGGCACACCTCTTTGAAAATTTATCTATTCAAGAAATATTTATTCAAAGTTTAAGGGAATTTAATAAAACTGTAAATGGCAAAAAATATATATATATATATATTTATTCAGTCCTTACTGTGCGGGAGGTACTGGGGATACAAGAGGAAATAAAAAGGTGCCCAATTTCACAGGATTTTTATTTTAATAGCATAAAAGCTTTGGCTCCTCTACCTTAAAGGCTCACTAAAACCCAGGGTCCAAGAACAGCTTTATTAAAAGCCTAGGAAAAGGCAGGGTATGGAAAGAACCTAAAATAGATTTTCCTACCACTCTCACTAGAAATTTAATTGTATGATAGGAACCAATGAAAAGACAGAATTTATCTTAAAGACAATATTCCATGAACTACAAGTATTCTTTACAAAAATGCCATCAGCCAGAGGATTGAGCCTCTTATATTAACAGACACAAACTACTTTTTAAAAGAGTTGCATGTGTGTTTGGGAGAGGAGTAATGAGCATCAACTATGTGACTGGCACTCTGAGTAATACATTTTCTATCCTGAAGTGAACATGCTGTGCCACGCATAACTACCTGACTCAGACTAACGAGAAATGAAAGGCAAAGACAGGTGTATTAGAGAAGGTAAGAACTTAAGAGTGGAAATAATACCCCAAGTCATTTCCTCAAGACATTATATAGAAAACTATTCCAGGATAATCTACATTTCATCAATACACTTATATATGAAGAAAGAAATTATTTCCAAAGCTGTGCTTGACTACTTCAACACACCCTATACATGCAAGTTTACCAACCCTAAAAAGCTAATTCCCAGTTTAAGTCAAATGCACACAGTAAGAAATAAAAATAAAACCTGCTTAAATTGGTCCTTAATGCTAATAGCTTTCTACTTTACACAGTCCTAGCAAATACTATTTTGTGATGAGTATTTGAGGAGACTAATGATTTCTGGTTCCACCAAATTTGTGTATGAGGGGTGGAGCTTACGTTAAATGGGCTACATAGCTCAGTTCCAACTGGGTTTCTCAGTTTACTCTAGCATTAAAAAAAAAAAAAAAAAAAAGCTTTAGTGATTTTGAGCTCTTGAAATTCCTTGCCTACCAGGAAAACTATGGTAGTCAAAACTGCTTGATGCTTTTGTTAATAAGTCTATAAATCAAAGTCAAGGAATAGAGTATGAAAAGCATTTCAACACTGCAATCAAAAAAACAAAACACGGGCTTCCCTGGTGGCACAGTGGTTGAGAGTCCGCCTGCCGATGCAGGGGACACGGGTTCGGTGCCCCAGTCCGGGAGGATCCCACATGCCGCGGAGCGGCTGGGCCCATGAACCATGGCCGCTGGGCCTGCGCGTCCGGAGCCTGCGCTCCGCAACGGGAGAGGCCACAACAGTGAGAGGCCCGCGTACCGCAAAAAAAAAAAAATCAAAAACAAAAACACCATTTATTAAGTTTCCCCAACATTTTGATGTTAACTAGCCATCTCAAAGTAGTAGAATAAAATCAAAAGTACTAATGGTTCGGCATACTGACAACATCTCATCAAGTTTTATGTAGCAATTTCACATACTTCCATAGCAAACCAAAGGATACAAAACTTAAAACTGATTTCAAAAGCTGTCACTGCTTTTTAAGATAAAATTCAAATTACTACATCTGTAAAGTAGAATGCTAACTTTTGGATCTAAGTTTTTCACTAGAGAAATGGTTATTCCCTGAATGACCATATATGCAATTCTAAGGTTAAAATATTAGCTACTTTAAACCAGGGTAAATTCAACCTTCATTTTCTGATTTTACATTTCAAGTTACCTATTAACTACTATTTGGCCTCTTTTCCTATGGAGACTGATATGAAGCTGAAGTGTTAAAAACTGCCCAGAATTCATGTTTTACAGCAAGATAATCTCTAAGAAAAACAAAGACCACCCCTACCAGGCTCAAAAGTATATCCACATAACCTAAAAACATGTCTTTAATTACAGTTAGCCCCACACATCTTTCATAGTCAAGTTTACTTTCTCACTTGCCAGAGTAGGTTCAATTACTGTATTACACTCATTTGTTACTATCTACTACATAGATCAAAATTAATTCTGTCATACAAGTACCTTATTTTGAGAACAGTGAATCAATTTATAATAAAATCCGATTGGTATAATCTAGTAAGTAATTTCTCACCTGCAATCTGCTCCTCAGTCAGCTGGTCAGCCTACAAAGAGATCAAAGAAATAGTTAAGTGGATTGAGAGTATGTAGTTTAACACTTACAGAAACAAGTTTAAAAACATTCACGGTGGGACTTCCCTGGCGGTGCAGTGGTTAAGAATCCACCTGCCAATGCAGGGGACTAGGGTTCGACCCCTGGTCCAGGAAGATCCCACATGCTGCGGAGCAACTAAGCCTGTGTGCCACAACTATTGCGCCCATGTGCTGCAACTGCTGAAGCCCGCGTGCCTACAGCCCGTGCTCCACAACAAGCTGCCACAATGAGAAGCACGTGCACCGCAACGAAGAGCAGCCTGTGTGCGCCACAACTAGAGAATGCCCGCAAGCAGCAACGAAGACCCAAACCAGCCATAAATAAATAAAATATTAAAAACAAAAAAAAATTCAAGGTTCACCCTGTTCCATAAACTTTAGTTCAACATTCCTTAGTACCAAACACAGGTGGGCAGAAAATGCACACATCTTCAAAGCTAAGCTAACTCGCCCCCAAGTTTAAGATACGAAAATATTTCAGAATACGTTTGAAAGTCTAATTTTACACACATTTTTAAAAAGCAAATCTAGCACACTAGAAAGTTTAACTGGGACTGGTATTCTTCTAAAGCCAAGGATAGATCCAATAAAAATGTTTCCTTTTTCAAAATTAAGATATCTAAACTTAAGCTCACCTCCTCAGGTAAATACAAACCATTAATACCAGAAATCTCCATTGAATCAAAAATAATGAACAAGGACTACATTTAAAATTCCCCTGTAAGTGGCTAAATACTTAACTTGGACATATATGTGATTTTCCAAACCTCAACAATAACAACAAAATTACTAAGCAAAACTATCAAAAAAACAAAAATCCAAGCTGTCCTGGTTGGAGCAACATGAAAAGTACCAGTTTTTACTCCTCCTCACCTGCCATGCAACTGCAGAGAATCCAGGATTCTGAATATCTGAAGTACATTACTTACAAAATGTTAAGTCCAGCTACTTATTTTCTCTTGATGTTTGAAATTCCAAAGTGAGCATAAGATTTGTTATGTTTTTAGCAAATGGAGAAAAGTTACTTGTTTTTACTTAAACATTCAATCACTTGCTAAAACCCATTATATATGTTGTTTTTATTCAATCTTCACAACAACCCTTAATGGTATCAATAATATCATTAATACCCTATCTTACAGATGGGGAGAGAGGCTCAGGTTAAATTTCAGTGAGCGGGAGTACAAAACTACTAACTAGTTGAGTCAGAATTAAACACTAAGGTGTCAGACACATCCAATACCTTCAAATTTTAAATTCAGAGCACACCATAATATAATAAAAATATTTGCAAAGTAACAAGCCTCCTCGTTCTTCATGTGGCCTTCATCCTTGGACATTTCACTGCTTATTGGTACATATATCCAGAGACACTGACAAGAAATAGCCTCCTATCTAACACTCCTACCTACGGAAGTCAAGTGTACTATGATTAATCCATTCACTTATTGGTATGAGAAGAAGAATAAACACTGCCTGGTTTCATTTTAAGTGAACACACACACCCCTGGAAAGGATAAAACCTTAATACAGGATAGCATCACATTTTTTTCTCTAGGAGACAGCATGAGAACATTTGAGAAGAAACCCAGAAAAGGAGAAGTTTCTTTCCCTGATAAACAATTTTGATTTGACCTTGATGCAAACTCAACTCGTTGCTTTAGAAAAAAGAAAAGAAAAAAAGCCAATAGTCTAGTAACTAAAACTGAAGAGCCAATAATTAAGCGCAAATTTGCGCAAGTTTATAAAATAAAAATTATCTACTTTCATCCTTACAAATCCCAATCCTCCAAGTATTTGGTATAAAATCCGTCGATTGTTTTCTCTAGGAATAAGATTTAAAATCTAGTAAATCCACTGAGTTAATTTTTACTTTGTTAGAGGCTATAGATGATTTACTTCTAGTCTCATTCCATTCTGCTGGACGTCTATCATTTTTGAAAGAAGGGCAATATGGCATGGTGGAAGAAAAAAGCATGGTGCTTTGAGTCATCGCCGGGCTAGTATCCCAGCTCTGCCACTCAATAGCTGTGACCTTGGACATGTTACTCAACCTCTCATTGTCAACTTCACCTGTGACACAGAATATTAATACCTACCTTGCAGGATTATTGTGCACAGTAAGTGAGAAGCTATGTAAAGGGCTAGCCCAAAGAGTTCAGTGATAACTATTTTATATAAATTAATTAACCAAAGAACCTACAATGTAATGTTAAACACCAACCTGACTAGGTCAACTTCTACACAGAAGGTAGACAGGTGGGGCATTATCAAGCCCTTTACAGCAAACTCACCACATTCCATGTTAACTTTAAGATGAGAAAATCTACTTCCACAAACTGAAACCATAAGGTGCAAGCCCAGGGACAGATGTGGCAGGACACACCAGTTTAGGACTAGTTAAACCAAATGTGTGGAAGACACTGCAGCACGTGTGAAGGCTGAAGGAATGACTGCTATGTGCAGAAACAGCAGGGATTTTTCTCTCGACAAGTTGTGCGGGAAGAGATTTTGAGAAGACTCATTTATATGAAAGCTGAGAAGGCCTCAGGAAGAAAACTTTAAGATTATCCAATTTTGCTAGATAAATCAAAAATTTTTTTTTTTTTTTTTTTTCCTTGCGTTATGCGGGCCTCTCACTGTTGTGGCCTCTCCCATTTGCGGAGCACAGGCTCCGGACGCGCAGGCTCAGCGGCCATGGCTCACGGGCCCAGCCGCTCCGCGGCACGCGGGATCCTCCCGAAACGGGGCACGAACCCGCGTCTCCTGCACCGGCAGGCGGACTCTCAAGCACTGCGCCACCAGGGAAGCCCCGAAAAATCAAAATTTTAATGGCCCCACACCATCCTGCCTGTGATCTCAGTAAAGATCACAAATAAGCTTCAAGGAATAAACAGGAGACTGTTACATAGCCTGAAAGTGCTGGATATTGCTTGTAATGTTTCAGGAAACTTAAAGACAATTTTTTTGTATTTACTACTAACCCAGAGTTCAAGGTTTTAAAATAACCTTTATCAGCAACATTCAGATTAAAGCCTACTAAAAGCAAGAACACAAAGCTCCCTAGCACTGTAATTTGTAAGCCTTTTCCAAGAAATACAAATAAATTTGGTTCTTATTTCTGTCTATGGAGAGAGTCATTTTCTTGGTAGAAGAACTAGAAGAATTATACTTTTGGGAAAACTCAAGCTCATCAAAATGTGTTTGTCTCAGTAAATAACTCTAACTAGAGAGATGACTAGTTCTTACCCCTTTGTTTCTACAAATACAAATATTGATGTAATTCTTCCTGTTGCTCTTGTCAACTCTAGAGAAAGCTCCCAGACATCAGTACTCTCAGGTTCCACCTCAGAGACCTACTAGACTAGAATCTGCATTTTGGAGAAATGCAGGTGATTTGTCAACACTGAGAAAAACACTACTAATCTAGACTACATGTGTGACCTTCAGGAAATTACATACCTATTAAACATTTCCCAAATGGCATTCAAAAGTAGGTATGGATACCCTTGGAGCATATCTAGTGAAAGGTGGTATAAAAATAATCCAAAATTCATATCAGAGTAAGTTTATCAGTCCATAGGCTTGAAATGAAACAAACTTCCACCCTTCATTGATTCCTGTTTACTCCAAGTGCTACTAAGATACAACAAAGCCTTCATAAGTAAAAATTTTTCTACAATTTCAGAAATCAGGGTATTTGTTTTATCTATATCAAAAGCAATCTCAGTAGAGTTTAAGATACCTTTCATTCTGATAGAACAGCACTTATATGGCATCTTGGCCCCAAAGAGAAAACGCTAAAAGATACTACTTCTTAAAAATTACCTTTACTAAAGGCCTAATTTGATCATTCTAGCTGAATCTAGAACTTTCTATATTTTAATAGAGCCTTGGTGAATTTCTTCAGTCTAGTAGAAACAGATCTTCTTGCTGTTCGATGGAATATTTTCTACCTCTTCACATCTTTTACTTATCACCCCAGCCTCAAGTCTTCTTAATGCAATCAATCTCCCTTCAATGAGCATGCATCAACTATAGGTAAACCCAAGAGCCATGTGAGCAAACTTACTCCACTTCCACATCATATACGTGTTCATTCTCCGACTTTACAGAGTCCTAATTTTAAATCATCAGGTCTTATAATTATAAAATTACCTGAGGACAATTCCCAAATTAGTTAACAATGACTGTCAATTTAACTAACTGAACCCCCTCCCCGCCCCACCCCGCCAAACATCAATGATGTGAACAGTAACTACAAAAGCCTACCCTTGGCAAAGGACCCTGAAGGGTAGATACAAACTCTATGCCTCACCAAGAAACTCCATTTGAGCTCTTGATTCAATTATCAGACTGATCAGGAAGAAACCTTACCTTTCATATGAGAAATTAAAAAAAAAAAAAATTTACCCCACAATTTTGAATCTTAATTACATGCCTATAGTGTACACCCCGTTTCACCTAAAAGTAAACTCAACCAGCACATTCAAATTTATAATAGTTTAGAATATCAAAATGGAAGAGTACATCAAACAAATATGAACTCCTCTCCCCACACCCATACGTGGTGGAGGTTTCAGTTGGCAAGGATTCCCAACTGCTTAAGATGTCACCTTGCCTCCTGGACACACCCATCTCCCGTAACCACTTGGCAGAAGAAACGACAAAATAAGTATTGCAAATTACCGCCCTCATTAGTTTTTTTTTTTTTTTTAAAACAGGAAAGAACTGGAGTTCCGGTCTCTAGTGACAGGAAAATGCTTTTAAAAAGTCCCTGTCCCCCTTCTTTCACGACGGTCTTTGACAGCCATTACTGTACAAATGAAGTGAACTGCACGTTAAGATATCTGGCACTTTCTCTACGGAAATACCAGTTATTTTCAAGGGGGTTGGAGCGAGGCAACACTGTGTGTGGTAGTGGTTCTTTAACATTTCGGCGTGCACTTGAGCACTCAAGAAGAGGGCTGTGGCCCTTCTCAAAGGCATCCTTCCAATTGTTACAGGAGAATAAGACCGACTTTCACAACAGAACGACAGTCATCCCGGTGCTGGCGTTCGGTAGGTGAACAGGAAACGCCTTTCAGACCCTAGCTGGAGCCTCTGGCTTTCTCTAACGAGATGAACAGTGGGAGGCTGCGCCTGACTTCAGATATACAGCCATTTCCTTCAACGACAAAACCACTTTAAAAAAATTTTATTTTAAATGTCCAGCCTGGGAGGTGGAATTAGGTCTCAAGGCGCAGAGGGAGCAAAAGGATCAGGATTCACCGAGCTTCCTTCGCGCCGCCAGACGTGGATGGGAACCTGCCGAGGCTGCACTCCCCAACCTATGCCGAAACGGCCGGCCTCGCAGCGCCGCAGGCCGCCCAGACCTCCGCAGTCCTGCAGGTGCCAGCGCAGCAGCTGGGGAGCGCGCCTAGCCGGGCGGGCCGCGGCCCCGGCCCCACGCCCCGCCCCCGGCCGCTCCCCGCGCCGCGCGGGCTCGGCCCACAGAGCGCGCCCGCCCCTCGCCCCCGCCCGGCCTGACCCGCGGGGCTGCGGGCTGACGGCCTCGCGCGCTCCCGCCCGCCCCCTCGGCGCAAGGCGGCCGCGCGCGGACAAAAGCGCTTCCTGGCGTCCGCACCAACCGTCCGTTGGGCTTTTGAATCCGGCCCCGGGCTGACCTTTCGAGATGCCCGACCCAAAGCTTCTGCGCTCCGGCTCCCCCCCGCCCTTCCACTCTCGCCTCCCGCGGGGGCCGACCTGCCCCCCGCCCGGGCTCCATCCTCATCCAGCCCCTGAGGAGCTCAGCAGCGCCGGGGACGGCGCGCCCGGCCCCCCAGTATACTAGGGGACAACTCCCTGAGGAGAATGGGGGTGGGGAAGCACCTGCGACACAACAGCCGCGGGCGCCCCCAGCCTCATGTGCGCCATCCCCCTGGCGAAAACCACTCCTGGAGGGTGTGAGGGTGGCAAGTTCCCTTTGTTTCGTCAATTCGCTTCAGCCTCTTCCCCCCACAGGCCGAGCGCCAGCAGCTTAACGACGCACTCACCATGCTGCAAGCGCTACCGGTCTCCGGGACTCGACTACACAACCACTCAGCTCGCTCGCTCCACTCGGACTAATTCTCCTCCTCCGCCCCCGGCTCCTCATAAACACCTCCCTCCGCCAGATCCCTCCGCCGCACGCCAGATAACGGAACATCACAAACGAGTCCCGGCCAACCCCCCTCCACTCCAACTCCTCTCGAGACCCCTTTATCCACAGTTGTGTGGTCGACGATACAAGAGATTAAGGGAGGGGGGCGAACGGATGGCGTAAGTGGGTTTCGCTTCCCAGCGAGCCGTTGAAGGGCCGGTGGAGTCGCGCCTGAGAGGCGCTACTTTGCGGCGCGGAAGAGCATCGTGGTAGCGACGCGTAACGCGACGATCGTTGAACCGGCCTCTGATTGGCTGGTTCGTACCTGCAATGCGTCACTGGGGCTCGCAGCCACCGCCGCCGGGACGCGGTGTGGTTTCTGCCGTTTGTGCCGTTGCTGCCCTGGCCGCACTGTCTTGGCAACTGCGCCAGGCGGCGGAGTCGCTTGCTTCGCGCTTGGCTTGAGAGTTTTCCTCCTCCACCCATCCTTTCTCTCCACAGTCGTACGCACACTTTCCCGCCCCTGGTATAGGGGTCTACGAAAACGCCGATTAAGAATGAAGCTGAAAGACCCAGTGAAACCCCTATCCCGCGCTCTTTTTCTCAGCTTCGGTTATTGGCCTCGTGGCGGCCACACGCTTACCGTTTTACTCCCTCACAAAACCCGAATATCTGAGTAAGGGCGAACGCACCTGGTCAGCTGACGAATCTGAAAGGGTCTTCCGTTTATACTTCCCTTTCGCCTCGTTTGTCTGGGGTAATTTACCGGGGGGAAAAAAAATCACTGAAAAAGCGCAGTATCCCGGATTCTGTGGGATTAGTCGCTCCCAATAGCCACTTGATGTTGTGGAATAATAGGGGTCTGGCTTGGAGTGAGACCTGGGTATGAGTATCGCTTGGGCCACTTTCTTAGATGTGTGACCTTGGATGAGCCATTTAATCTTTAGCCTCATTTGTGAAATGGAGGTTTTATAATACCTATATTGAAAGATTATTGTAAGAATTAGAATCACATAGAGACTGGCGTTCAGGTAAAATGTTAAAGTACCTGGCACAGGGTAGGCACCCAACAAGTGGTTATTATAATAAAACCATAATACATATGGTCACAATGAATTTCATAATGAATTTGCCCCTTTGGGTCGCTAACCTCTCAGATTTAATAGAACATTTCTAAAGCCACATGAAAGTTAGCTCTTTGGAACTGGCACCCTTGTGCACTGTTGGTGAGAATGTAGAATGGTACAGCCACTGTAGAAAATAGTATGGTAGTTCCTTAAAAAATTAAAAATCGAATTACCATATGATCCAGCAAGTCTGCTTCTTGGTATATACCCGAAAGAACTGAAAGCAGGATCTTGAAGAGATATTGGTACACCCGTGTTCATGGCACTCTTCACGATAGCTAAAATGTGGAAGCAACCCAAATGTCCATCAGTGGATGAATGGATAAGCAAAATGTGGTATACGTTTGTTGTTACATACAGTGGAATATTATTCAGCCTTAAAAATTCTGTAATATGTCGCAACATGGATGAAGCTTGTGGACATTATGCTAAGTGAAATAAGTCACACAAAAAAACAAATACTGTATGATTCCATTTATATGAGGTATTTAGAGTAGTCAAAATCACAGAAACAGAATGATGGTTGTCAGGGAAAGGGGGAATGGGGGGTTATTGTTTAACGGGTATAGATAAGAGTTTCAGTTTGACAAGATGAAAACAGTTGGGATGAATGCTGGTGATGGTTGCATAACGTTATGTATTCAGTACCTCTGAACCCTACACTTTAAAATGATTAAGATGGTAAATTTTATGTGCATTTTATCACACATGACATTTTTTTTTAATTTTTGCACTTTTTTATTTGGAAAACTTTAGACATAAGCTCTATACAAGTGGAGAGAAAAGTATAACCATCACTTAACCAAGTAGCCATCACTCAGCTTTACCAGTTAACAGCATTTTGTCATTCTTGTTTCGTATATTTCCCCCCATTTAAAAAAAAATTAACTCCTTGGTCCCACCCAAAATAAGCAAGGGTGTGCATAACCTGGAATATTTAACAAATGAATAGCAATAGTTTACCTACTGTGTAAACTCATTCGAATACAATGTAATTGTTACCTTAGAGGGGGCTTAGAAGGCACAGAGGAGAGGACCTTTGCTCACCACAGAGGTTCCAAAGAGGGTTCCCAAAGAACATGACTCCTAAATTGAGCCTGACATGATAATGGGCTAGGAAGAAGTGAAAAGCCAGGGAGGAAGAGAGAAACAAGTTTAGATGAAACAAAGAACAGAGCAAAAGGCCCAGAGGCAAGCAATTGCATGGCACAATGGAGGAGTGTCAGTGGTTAGGCATTACCAGGGCCAGCCGATCTCGGGAGAGGGTGCTGGGAAGTTAGAAAGGAACTAAGGGTCCTGCTCAAACTGCAGTTCCTCAAGAAGGTTGGTATAACCATTGTCCAGAAAGAATCCTCTTAGGCCACATCAAGGCTTTAGAATTTTCCAGTAAAAAGCACAGCCATGTGGACCCTTGAAACCTAGTGAACAGCATTTTCAGCAAGCCAGGGTAAAACCTGCCTACTGAGAAGGATCCTTCCAGAACACCTTCCTGCCCAGCAAGACCAAGATATTCTCTAACAGCTTATCCACACCCACTTGGAAAGACTCAGTGGAATTTAACCTGCTTTAAACAAGTTAGGCATTTTCTCAAGCCATCTAAAGTACATCCTTTACTAGGCCGGAGATGGATTCTCTTTCTTTCAGTCATACAAATCAGACACAAAGTAAGTGCTCTTTCAGTTAGTTTTGGCAACCCTGTGACCTTCCTTTCAGATGAATGGACTGTTCAGTAAAAACTCAGGACCCCCATGCTTCTATTGTCCTTGCTAATGTGATATAATGATTCCACAGGGGGAGCGGGTGGGCTTAATTAAGTTACCCCACAAATGAAATACACTGTACCATTGAGAATGTTACTTGAGCTGAAAACAGAGCCCTAAGGCCACCATTCCATTACTCTCCATTGTGGTAGCGCCCAAGTCTTTCCAAGATTTTCCTCAGAAATTTGTCCCTGATTCTTCCTCAGATGGAAGGGCTATCGACAGTTTTTTACGCCATCAGTATGCAGTGCTTTTACATATGAAATTTTTAATGATGGGAAATTGAATGACAAAACGAATAATCACTTCTTCTAGAAAATGAATTTTTAAAAGGATTGATGCATAACGTATAACGAGCTTGAGTATAATATACAGGTGCATGCTTAGAGACGTATGTATTGAATCAAGGAGCTTTTAAACAAATATTTGGTAATGAAATATGTCTGTTAAAGAGAACACAGAAAAGTTCTTCCTGGTTTCTTAGGTTGAATTTCAGTAAGGCCTCTCTTGCAGAAACTTCCGTGCTGACCTCTCCAATAAGAGAAGGAAAATGAGAAAAAAAGTCAAGACGTACATTTAAAGCCATTGTGGTTTTTGTGTATTTGAGACTGTTCCAAATCAATTTATTTATAGAGAATTTGTCTTGCACAAGATGACACACAGTACAGCCTGACTTTGGCAACTTCCAGCTGAGAAGCAAAGTTGGTGACCACCATTACATCAAGGCCTAAGAGGTGGTTGGTTGTTTATTTTCCTCTCCTGTCTGGTGAGATATTACAGCTTTCTACCTTTGTCCATCCTGGGAAAATGAGAATGCACTTCCTCTCCAGGCCTCAGTTCCTCAATTTGCAGAATAGAGATAACACAAGCCCCATCCTTTGACACTTCCTTCCCATAGTTTCTCTCCTCCAGCCACCTGTGCTGTGAACAAGGGCAGAGGACAGTCACAGTGGCATTCTTGATTGTAGGCCTTATGTGATTCTTGACAGGTGAAAGAATTAAGCCCTAAATGCCCTAAGGCACCAACAGTATGCATCAACTTCTCTCCTATGCATGTAGAATGGAACTTGTTACGTGCCAACCTGGAGAGAATTCAGAAAATAGTACTCAAATGATCTTCTTGTTCTGTGGTTCAGATAAGGAGCCCTGGTTGAGAATGTTAAGCTATCCCCTTCCAGGACTATGGGGAAAAACAGAGCTGGGACAGGAATCCAACCAGGTCATGAGAATGTCTCGCCCACAGCATCCTCAGTATGATGAGGAGTGAAGAGTATAGGGAAAGCACTGAATCCTCCAGACTTACTGAATGGGCTTATGCTCATATACGTATAGGAAGAGTTGAGGGTCATTAACTTTGATATTGACACTCTGCCATTCATTCATTTATTCATTCAAAAAAATTGAGATGTCAATTTAGGGTGACTAACCATATAGGTTTGCCTAGGATTAAGGGGTGTCCTGGGACACAGGATTTACAGTGCTAAAACCACACAGTCCCAGGCAAACCAGGATGGTTGGTCGCCCTAGAAACCATGACCACTCATTCAATAAATACCAGCAGTCTATTATGTGCTCTAAATGTGCAATGAGGAGAATGTGCTATGATAAGAATAACTCTGGGAGCACATAGGAGGACAACCTAATAGACAAGAGGAAGACTTCCTAGAGAATGTGATCCATAGGAATTTGGGTTAAGGGGGAAAAAGAGGAAAAGGTGTTTGAAGCAGAGAGAAGAAACACAAACGAACAGAGACATCGTCATTACCATCATCACCTCTATCATCATGGTGACATTCACAGCCACTGGTGATTTGATGCTCCCCACGGGCCAGGCCCTGTGCTGATCACTTTATGTACACTGTCCACATTACTGACCATTCCATTCCTCTTGAAACACTCTTCTTGCTTGGCTTCTGGAATATTACCCTAGTATTTCTCCCACCTCTGTGGTAGTTTCTCTGCAGCCTCCTTGGCTGGCTCCTTCACCTATTGCCTAAAAGATGGCATGCCTCCAGGTTTAGGCCATGACTCTCTTCTCTTGTGAATTTTGACACCCGCCCTGGCACCCTCCCCACTCCCACAGCAGTGGCTCTGTGCTGATCACCCCCAAATATGGATGGCCCAAGGTAAAATCTCTTCTCAAATCCTGATCAGTATTTCCAGCTGCTCAGGCCCACCCTAACATTTGT